TGAGCTAGTCTCTGTAAGTGGCAGGAGAGCATGCATTTGGCAGATTGGGTGGTGCTGCATGTAAAGGCATTTAGATGCCTTATTGTATCAGTATCACTGTGGCAAACTGCATTCTGGAGGGCAGTTGTGAGGATAAAAGTAAGAATTTTTGTTGTAAGTGGGAGAAAATGTAATACTGTAGGCTACAGCAAAATATGGATTGGTGGATTGTTAGGTTTTTTTAGTAACTGTAAAACATCATATTGTGCAGGTATCATTTCTGGGCTTACTCTTCTTTCCCAAGCACAATTGTTCAAATCAAAGCACAAATTGTCAAACCAGAATTTGAGAAAGTAGCTATTGGAAGGCGTTCCTGGCAGATCTTTTAGTGAACAGGTCCTGAAACCTCATCTAAATATGTGAACAAACAGACTCTCAGGTGAGGTGCTGCTGTTTTAGCATCTGTGGTAGTCAAATATTTATGTTGGAACTATGTCTGTTCTCCTTGCTTGTGTTTGTACGTAGACAAAGAAAATGGGCAATGTTCAGTCTGCTTGAGTTGCTGTTTGGCTATTGAGCAGAGCAGTTTGGAGGGAAAAAGAAACCTATCATTTGGTTGAGTTAACAGTGCTGAAGAATAAATGTCATAAAAATGTGGTGTTCTTGGGGTATCCCTGACTTATAAGAGGCACATGGTGAGCGAGTTAGCAAATGACCTAGAAAATATCTGAGATGATTAGGAAATGGGAAAGGCATTAAAGATAAGACTACATTTCAGAGAATGATGCTGGGATGTGTTGCTGTTGTTAGCTTATGGGAGTCGTTAGCTTGGGGAATCGACGCTGTCACCTTAGAGCAGAAGAATATGGAATTAGCCATACTCAATTAGCTTCTTGAGTATCTATGGTTTGTATAGAAACCATGCCTGTTCTTTACACAGTTCTTTCCTGATGCTTTCAACCTCAAAGCTGTCTCAAGTTGGTGCTGTAGCTTGGGGAGTCTCTGCTTGCCGTCGAAAGCTTTACTTCCTACCCCAGAGGTCTTGCTTTGTGAAAGGTTAAAATTTGATGTGAAGTGACTGTAGAAGCACAATGTTTCATTGTTGCTCTGAAGTAATGAAGAATAAATTCAGTTTATGCCAGTGTAGTGATATGTCCGTTAACTATGAAACAATTAAGCAATAATCTTTTCTTTCTGCTGTCTTCTGATCTTGGTGTTGCAACTTGGGTTTGCTCTTCATCTGGATGTCTGATCTGAGTTCTTACATCAAAGGTGTCTGGCACTGATAGTCAGGTTTGGCTTTGGTAAAAAAACCCTATAGTTGCAACTGGGCAAAATGTCAAGAATAAGATGAGAAAAAAAATATGGGTCAAGTCTATCTCAGCCAATCTTTACATAGAGAAATTGACAGAGTTAGTATTTCCTTTTGGTCCCCAAAAGGAAATTCTTTCTTTCTTTTGTTCCCATAGTTCTTAGATGTCTGTATTCGTTTCCCTGGTCAACTACCTGCAAAGCTAAAAGGTTACCTTTATGCCAAAAAAAGTAAGCTGCGGAGTCATCCTTCCTTGCTCTCTTATCATTACAGTGCACATCTGTGAAAGGCTTGTTACTTTAAAACTCCAATTTTTTTATCTTCAGTACAAAGGTATTAGCCTATTGTGGCACTTTGGATTTCATGTGAGAAACAAACTAGCGTAGTGGGGGAGAAGAAAGGAAGGATATGTCAGCCTTCTCAACTGACATTACTGTTATAATGAAACACAGTGGACTGAAGCATTATTTCTATTTAACACGGTGAGTAGGAGGGAAAATATTAAAATGCAGTGTTTGTATAAGTAGTGTGGAAGCACTTAATGTGTGACACGGGGTGGAAGGAATACTGTTGTCGGCAAGTTAGAGAGGAAATTTCCAATGTTTGTAAGAAAAAAAAAAAAAAAGCAGATAAATAGACCTTTGAGATTAATGCCCTTTTTTTTCATTAGCCTCTTTACAAAAATCTAGCCTGTCCTTTCAGTAGGGACTATTATAGTGAATGTAATTAGGCTAAGAAATTTTAAATAGCTTTTTTTAGAGAGTACTTGCTCATCACGTTGAGTTTTTCTGTTACTCATTTTCTTCTGTTTGATTTCTTTTAACGTTGATAATATGGGTCTCCAAGGTGAGTGAGGCTTTGATATAGCGTAAAAGGAAATGACTGTTCTTTGTTTCTGCTATCATTTTGGATGGCCATTTAATTTCATCAATTAATACTCATCAAATTTTATGTACAGGAATTTGAAGACTGGCTAAATAATTTAAGAGCACAACCAATGTGAGCCACTGATTTCTGCTCCTGACTATTTTTCTGTGCCACATCAATATTTGTAGTAAGTGTACATATCAGGGATAGTAATCAAAAACTTTCGTTGTTGAGGATCCAATGTTCAGCTTTTGTTGCTCAGTGGTGGTAGTGAATCATGCAGTAGCAAAGTGGACATGATTAGGAAACATGACTAGGGTGGGTTTGGTTTTTTTTCAGCAAGAGAGAATGACTTGCTAAATTATTAACTCTTTAGAGCACCTCTATAAAAAGCTGTTTTCTCTTGGAAGATAAGGAGGATTTTGCTACTACTTTGCCCAGGAGTACTACTGAGCTGTCGTGTTTATGTGCTCATGCACACAAACACAAGGTGGGCTGCTGGGGATGGGTGTGTTTCTGAATGCATTCAGACTGTGTCGGCACTTTAACCTTTAGTCTTAGATGCCTGCTTCTGAAGTACAGATGGATCATTGTCCCACCACAGAGCTTGCTGCCTGCTCTGTTGCACTTGTGTGCCTTCTACTTTAGCAATCTGTTGGCCTTCTCATTGCTGTGATTTGTCATCTCTACTGATTTGTTACTTGATACTTTTTTGTTTTTTCTTTTTTAAAGTTGTGTCTTTTTCATCATTTTAAGAATCCTTCTTGCCTGCTTCCTAGTGCAATACCCTGATCAGTTTCATTGCTGCTTTGCTAGTTCTGGAAAACGAATAAAAATGATGTAACTTACTGAATACGGACTGGAAGAAGTCTCCTTGGATGAGACATTTGACCTCCAAAGTATTTCAGTCTGATAATAGACTCATTGCCTGGAGTCAAAAGCAAAGCATGTGTGTTTTTATGTTTTAATGTAAAAGAGCTTACTGAGACGGTGGCATGGCAGCTGTGCTTTGAGACTGTCTTCTGTTTATCCAGTGCCTGATAAAATACAGTACAACTGGAGTTAATGAGAAAGAATGTTGGTATTAATGTATTAGTTTGAATTGCTGTGTACGTTCACTATGCACAGTATATATTTCCTTTAATTGAAGGCTAAGTACTTAAATTCTTTTTGTTGTTTTTAATTCCACAATTTATGCATTTGCTTGCTGAGATCTCCAATTTTATGTAGTGCATAACTGTTTCTACTGTAAGAAGAAAGACTTTTTGATTTTTTGACTCTGGCTTCTGGTTTTAGTTAACTGTATTGCATTGACTTTGTGTGCAAACCAGCTTTGTTTTAGGAGATAAATTATTTGAAGATAACATGATCAGCAAGTATAACTTCATTTTGTATGGTTATAACCTGTTTGCAGGTGGTGGTTTCTTATGGCTTGGCATTCAGTCTTCATCTAATTTTAGATGCTGGACTGTCACCACTGAATTACTGAATTGTTGTATTTAAAAACTTGAACATCTGTTCCTACCTTGAGTTTTTGTTTGTATTAACTATGAGCCCAGCTGTGTATATAAGTGGGGACATACAATCACACAAATTCATAATTTCCAATTAAGTTATAGATAAACTTTTGAAGTGTTTTTCTACAGAAGAATGATGTAGCAGCAGTTCTTGAAGCCACAAGTAGATACCATTTTTCTGTTAACACTACTTTGTGGTGTCTCTCTCTAAAACTATGAACAGCTCTCTGCTAGTACTCCATAGATCAATATCCTCCCTTCTTTCTTTTTTTTATTAAATGTCATAAGTGCTTTCCTTTCCAGCTGGCACTGATACAATGATGAAAGAGAAGATAGTGCAAATATCTTGCAATATGTTTGTGAGCAAGAGAAGTCAAAGCAGCATTGCATATACCACTAATCCCTCTCACACACACACCCTTTTTTTTTCTTAAGCCTTCTCTTCTGTTTGATTGTTCATGATCTGTACAGTTATCTGAGGTCTTGATCTTTTATGAACAAAGTTCATATGACTACATACCATTAAAGCTTAAGGGAATGCTGAGGCTGATCTTGCTGTGGGTTCCCTTGCCTTAGATTGTGAAATGTGTTTGACAGCAGTGTCATCTTACTTAAGATATTTGTACAGCAGCTTATTATGATGAATAAATAGTTTTAAGAAAGTCTGTAACAGCTTTGTTTTAATTAAGATTATATTACAAAAATCCCATCTTTTTAAGTAAATTATTTAGTAAGTCACTTAGAAATACTACTTTCTTTAAACACTCAGAATATATGATAACTGTCTCAATTCTGGAGACCGAAGATGCCATAGGTAAAGGCAGAGTGGTTTGGAGGTATATCTGCTGAACTGAAAGTTGGACCAGACGTGCATAGTTTCCAATGAAAAGGCCTTTTAAGAGTTAAAAATGAGCCAATGTTAGGCTGTTTTATGACAGAAACCTTTAGCTGAGAGAGAGAATCCATTTGATCTTCTTAGATTTAAATGACTTGAACAGAAGTCAAGTCTAGCAGCTCTAGCAGTTCATCTCTATTTTTGTAGTTGATTTTTCTTAAACAAGTTGTATTTGAAAGTAGTAGATGACTAACCTGGCAATCCCAAGTTTCACAGAAGGAGCACAAGGGATGTGGTTTGCTATGGGTGGCTTTTCTAATTTCCTTTGTGTCCTTTGATCTGTGCTGCAGCTGATGGATTGGGTATTGTTTTTACTTCCATTGGTCTGTCTCCAAGTCTTTCTTTGTGCCTGTGAATAAAGTTTTAGTATGCTTTGCCAGCTCACCCTTTCAGAAGTTAAAGACCTAATCAGCTGCTTCTTTTACAGGGAATGCAGAGGGCAACCAACGTTACCTACCAAGCTCATCATGTAGCAGGAATAAGAGAGGCCAAGTGGTAGGAACAAGAAGTGGTTTTCGTGGCTGCACAGTCTGGTTAACAGGTACAGTCACGGATTTCTGAGGATTCTTTCATTTTAGTTACTCTTCTGAAAAGCTACTTGGCTGTAGCTCCTTTTTTTCATGCAAAGCTGAATGTTTGTGGAATCTAGGACCTTGATGCAATTTTATGACTATTTTTAGGTAGACTAGCAAGAAATTGCTCTGGGACAGATAGTAACTTGAGAATGTATTTTGTTCAATGCTCGAGGAGCATTGTTTATTTGGCACTGTCTGCTGCTTAATTCCACTTGAGTTTTGTAGTGTGTGGGGGGTGGTTTTTGTGTTTTAACCAATTCTGGCTCTTCTTACTGTCCATTTTACCTATTAACAAATGAAACCTAACTTTTTTTTTTAGTCTGTGTTTCTGAATCTTTGTTGTAAAGGTCTCTTTTCTTTGGAAAGTTCTTGTCTCCTTGGGTTGAAATAACGTTTCAATATAAACCTATGCCTTTGGACAGCAATTGCATGTTAAGGCAATGCATACTGGGAGTTATTTTTTTAAATCAGCACCATGGTTTTTTCACTGAATTGTTTGACTGTAAAAAGAGGAGGTAAGTAAATTATGGAAGACAGCTTTGTTTCATAACTGTGAAGGGATTTTTTTGTTCTGTCTGTCAAAGTTCGTGGAAGCTTTAACATATTTCCTTTGGAGTTTTTTTCAGTTAAAACTGAAAATAAAAAATAAATAACTAAGTGTGTTATTTAGTTAGTTTGTAAACCATTTAGAGCACTGTTGTATTGCAATACAAAAGATCTTCACAGAGTATTAGAGAAACTTACTACACTAAGTAAAATTTGTTTCCACTAATGTTAATGAATGTGTGTGAAAGGTAAAGCAGTAGTTGATAACAAATTGCTGAGAGACATTCCAAACAGATTTGATACAGTAGCTTGCTGTCAAGTATTCCTTTGGTAAAAGAATGGAGCCCTTTCTCTCCCTATTTCTGTCACGTAGCTCCAGCCTGTCTCTCAATGCTCGAATGATCTGGTAGGCTGCCTTTCTGTTTCTCCTGGTAATTCATTAATATCCTTTTGAAAGAGATCATGATAAAAATGTTTTCTTAGTTATCTACACGGCAACATTTTCCAGTCATCGTTCTTTTTAAACAAATGTAATCTTAATGCCCAATTTCCCTTTTTTCAGGAGGAAGAAGGGTGGTAGTAGAATACAGAAAAGTAGAAAGGCTGTAAGGTATTAAGAAGAGTGTGTTGGGGAAGCTAGATTATTGCAGATGTTTGAGCACTAATGTCAGGGAGTGAAATGGACTGTAGGCATTGAAGGAAGCAATACTAGCCATTCTAGAACTGTGCAAACATGAGTCTTCAAAACTCTGCTGGGCTTTAGAATAAAAGCTGAAACGGTGGTATACTCCCTTCAAGATTCTCTCACTTCTTCAGCACTCATGAGGTGGGAGTGTATGGAAAATTATTTCAGAGATCACTTTTCATTTTTAAGCTAAGATTTATTTGAGAGCTAAATTCTAACGAATGTCTTGTGCTGTCGAGTCAGAGGGTCCTAGTAAAAAAAACCCCGAGGAATGTATCAAAAATGTGGAAAAGCATTACTTTCATGTGTAAAATAATATGCAATTTTGGGAGTGTAAGTTATTTTGAAGACTTGTCAGCTCAAAAGCGGTTTTTAAAATTCATTATTATGTAACCTTAACTTTTGCATTTCATTACACATCAGAGACCAAATGATGTGTGAAAAGCTAGAGCATTTGAGTGAATAGCAAGCTAGATGTGGGGACAAAAATTGCAAGTCAAAGACTGCATCAATGAGAAGTAAATTATGAAGTTGCTGAAATCTTAATTTGGACTGCCATACTTATTTTCTAGGGTGGGGTATGCTTAATTACTGCCAGAAGAAGACTATTCTGTTTCCAGCCTTGCTTTCCTTCTCTTGCCTCGCACAAGCTGTAGTGTTTGCCCAGCCCAACATTGAGCTGATTCAACTTGCTAAATCATCAGTGAACTTAACACAGCCTCCACACACACAAAAAAAGGCGGGGGGGGGAAGGAAAAAAAAATAATTAGCAAACTGAGTTGGCTAATGGGCACCAGAGGTCGTGGAATAATAGAAGTAGGATGGTGTGAGTGGAGAGAAGGGAGAGCAAGAGAGCAGGACCTCCCCTTTTGGAATCTGGTTCTGGCTTAAGTCATAACATTCAGCTTCATCATGTATAGCTGTTGCTCTCTTCAAAGTAGACAGGTAAGCATTGACACAAGGAACTTGAGTTGTCCAAGAAAATGTAGATAATTTGTATGATGATGATAAGTCATTATTCAGAACTCTGCAATTTTTTTTTAGAGTTTTGAGTATGAGCCAAACCATACTGAAATTTGTGAGATGGATGCAGGGGCTTTTTTTGAGAGAGAGGTGTTGGCTTAAGTTCTTATGTAGGACTTGTCCTGGGATACACATATTCTTATGTTTTCAGTAGACTGCTCTGCATCTTCTGAATATTAAATTGAGTGAAGGAGGAACAAATGCAATGACTCCTTTTCTTTAAATTACCCTAAACTATTGCAGGTGTCAAGGTTTCCTTTGCACTTTGTGTTTTCTTGGAACATGCTTGTTAGCATGATTGTCATCCTTTGCTGTAAAGGTCTTGGAAGTAATACCAAACTGCTCTTTTGTGTGATTTTTTTTTTTTTTTGCTTCTTTCTCTGAAAGCTAGAATAAATCTTAACCACCACTAATAAAGATCAAAACATTTTTCTTCACCCACTAGTTCTATTTTTTTTAGACTACCATTACCCTCATTTTTTTTCTTATTCAAAAGATTAATGTCATCTTATGAATATTTGAGTTTGTGTCCCATTTAGGAATTGATTGCCCTGTATAAGCTGAAGCATGTGCTCCATTTAACCTCCTGAAATCTAGTCTAGAAAATTATTTAAATACATTTCCAACTTAAAGCAAATGGTAGACTTTTTAGTGCCAGCAAGACTTCCCAATTGTTCAAAGGTTTGTTGCCGAAGATTCTGAACTGGACCAAAGTTGAATATTAAAATTGTCTTTGCTTGTTTCTGACACACTCCAGTTAGTGGAGCATGACTGTGGTGTGTGTGTCTTGAGTGAGTGAGTTTTGTTGTGTCTGTGGTGTCTAATTCAGTGCTGTTATTCTGCAAGAAGTAAGAACAGAGTGTGGTTTGGTCTGATCCCATTTCTTTTGTTGACTGAAATTCACTTCAGTGTGAGACCTTCCTCTTCTGATATAAATGTAACATCTTAACTCTGTGTTGGGTTTCTGAATTTAGTTTGCTCAGGTAGTAACAACTGCCAGCAGCAGCACTGGGGAATGTGCACCACCTCTATAAGCAGCAGCAGTTCTCAAGGCCAAAGTCTTTTGTCTGCTTCTAATTACGCACTTAACTTTGTGCCTTACTCTCCCTATACCTATTGTCTGTGTAAAAGGCACTTGGCTTATTTTGCAGGTAAGCATCTCCGAAAGGCATTGCTGCTGCCGCTTGTCACTTTGGGTTTTTCATACTAGCAGTGGTACACGTACTACAATTTGCCCTATCTTGTTCCTATGCTTATAATATTCAATAACAATATAAATATATATTCCAGGTCTATCTGGTGCTGGGAAGACTACAGTGAGCATGGCACTGGAGGAGTATTTAGTATGCCATGGTATTCCATGCTACACATTGGACGGTGACAATATTCGCCAAGGCCTTAATAAGAATCTGGGTTTCACACCAGAAGATAGAGAAGAAAATGTCCGTCGTATTGCTGAGGTTGCTAAACTGTTTGCAGATGCTGGTTTGGTGTGCATTACTAGTTTCATCTCTCCTTATACTAAGGTAAATGTGAAAACCCTCTAGAGGGAAAATACAAAATGCAAAATTTCACTTAATTTTAGTTATAGGAATCCCTCACTGAACCTAGCCAGAATCAAATGCTTCCTTGTTTGTTTGGTTTTTTTTGACATTTGTGCTTTCTAGAGATGATTACTCAAATTTCAGAAACATTAATCTTAAATATAAAAAAAGTTTACATTAGCCCTATAACTGGAACTGTCCTTCAGTCTATTAGGCAGAATTATTAATCTAGTATTAGGAACAAACCCAAATGATACTCCAAAGAGAGTCTTAAAATTACAGTATCTTGTTTGATCCATGTAGATTCCAGTACTTCATAAATATGAAGACTAGGTATACACTTAACCTGAAGACTCAGTTAAATTGTTTCTAAAAGCAACTTCTCCCTCAGTAAACGAATGGCGTGAGCTGTATTTTACCAAGTGGCTTAAGGGAAAAATGTTTAATTGCCTGTAGTTCTTTTTACTTTATTTCATGCCGTGTATACAACGTGACATTAGATAATACTGAAAATTAACCTAAATCTATGTTCACATTGTTTTGTGAAGACTTTTTTCATCTGTGTATGAGAACAAGGATAGGAGAGACAAAAAGGATGTGTGAACACCAAGAATCTTGAAGAATGACCCAGGGGCTGTAGCTCAGACATTTCACAGCATGAGAAGGTGTTATTTCTTCGGTTATAGTGGTATAAACAGTTCTTCTGATAATAATTTGGGGAACTCAAGGTCCTGCAATAAAACAGAATTCTTAGATATGAGGAAAAATAACCATAGTTAGTAAGAGATGGTTTTAGTGGATATTTTGAAAGTTTTTTGTTCTCTGAATGAAATTCACCAATTGTTTCAATGCTTGGCAAGCGATACAAATAAAATAATATTTGGAGTATACAAGTCTTGTCAGATTAATGAATGTAGAGAAATCTGGTACTCTGGAGAGAAGGGTGGTCATATCAGGAGCAGCAGATAATACCTCCTCTGACTTTAGTGAGCTAGGCAGATGATGTAACTTGGGGATGTAACTCTTAAGATAGGGGCAGGTATAGAAAATTCTGCACTCTATGCCTGGGTTGTTTGTTTTGTTTTGTTATAAATCAGGTTAATGTAAACTGTCTCAGATCTTCATGTCAGCTTTTACCATGTGATGAACTGTAGCCAAACTGATGTAGCTTGCAAGGCACCGGTTGATCAGATCATGTTTCTTTTTTCAAACTTTGAGAACTTGTTTACATTTTACTATCAGCTTCTTTAAAACAAACTTCAAAAGCAGAAAGGCAATAACAATATGTGGGTGCAATCTTCTAGGTTTTTTTTTCTATTTTCTTTCAGGATCGTAATAACGCCAGACGAATTCATGAAGGGGCAAGTTTGCCTTTTTTTGAAGTATTTGTGGATGCTCCATTGCATGTCTGTGAGCAGAGAGATGTTAAAGGACTCTACAAGAAAGCCAGGGCTGGAGAAATTAAAGGTGAACCTAGATGTAGTCACATACTTTCTGTATAAGTGAAACATTGGTATAATTTGACTCCACATAAGTGGATGTGCTCAAGTCTGTGAGTGTACCACCCTTAAAAGCAGCATGGACTGGGGAGAGGACCGAGCAGAAAATTGGCATTGACTTCTAGCTCATGCAACTGAGTAGTTAAATGCATTGGAGAGTAAAAGGGCAAAACTGGCTATCCTCATATCGAAAAACCTTGAGCAGATTACATAGTTTCTATTGCAAGCTCTTATGATTGAGGATTAGTCTATCTCCTTTGTGTGTCCATTGACTAGTTAAAAAAGAGCCTGATTCTCTCTGAAGCTTATAAAGAATTGCATTAATAAGAGTTACTAACTTCTTACAAAAAGTAAAGCATGATCACCATCTTTCTGTAAAGACCATTAAGAACACTTCTGAAGAGACTAACTTTTCTTTTGAAATTAGGGTTCTATGCTAGTGCCCATGAAAATGCTTTCCTATCCCCAGCCTCAGATCAAGATTTAAGTACAGCCTGCAATAAAAAAAAAGCTTAAATATATGATCACTCTTTGCAAGTATTGTTTCAGGTGCTTCTTTGCTCTGTGTTATAGTTTGCAGAGGCTGACGACAGCACTTCTTACGTGTATTAAGAAGCAAAGCAATTTTTAAAGTAATCACTTTCAGGTGCTGTGTTAGCAGATGCTGTAATGATGAACTCACCATTAATCAAAAGTGATATAAAATTCAAGAAATCTAAGACATCCCACATGACTTGTTGCTTGATACTTCTAGCGCTACCAAATATATCATGTGAAGACCAGGAATAAATAAGGCTGAACTAAGGTTTGCTCAGAATCAAAGCAAGATGGCTTGAGATGGCACGATACAAAGACATAGTTCGGTACAGAATCCTATCTGTGCTGTAGTACTTCCTTAATATTTTGTTAATTTTACAAGCCCCATAATAGAATTGTGTTACTTTAGAAGTGGTAGTGAAGTATACAGTGCCTGAGTAAGCTACAAGTGGGTCTAGCAGTGGCTGTATCTTATGACCTATCTGATATATGAAGGATGAATATTAACTGAACTTGCCTGTTCACAAGGAATGTCAACAACTGTTATCTTCTTTTTCTCCTGTAATGGTAATGGGACGCTTTCTTTGCCCCCTATTCCCACTCCTCCAGTAATCAGATGCTTACAAAGTATACAGTTCTTGGAATGTGTACCGGCCTTTCTTTATTACATGGGGTACTGCAGCAATTGATCTTTTTCTTAGATGGGGAATTAAGCTACTAATTTTGAGAGTATTTAAGTCTGAAGTGAAAAACTTGAGTTTTAATGTTTGCATTTACAATTGTAGAGTATGCAGATGTTCAGTTGCTGTAGCCCAGCTGATATTTCTGCTGCAGATCTGACTTGTGCTTACATGCTTTGCCTTCGGGCTTGATTTTTCCTTTTTGTTTATGCATGGTTAGTCAGAATCTCCTCTGTTTCAAAGCAGATTGCTAGCTAAGTAGGCCAGAACAAGTGTCACTGGTAGCTTGTGCAGTCTGTGACGATAGTTATTATAACTACAATAAACACACACATCTACCTTACATTAACAGCTATCTTAAGATGGGTATGTTAGCTAAACTAATGTAATAGGTATTGGGATTCCGTACTCTTCAGAGTATTGCTTGGTGGCATGAGTGTCAATTTACATATATACAGGTCATTCAACATCAGGCTTTGTGTTTTAAAAAAAACCAATCAATCAATCACAGCTAATAATGAAGCACAAGCTGACGGATGACTAACTCTGGGTTGATATGCACAGTTCTGCCCGTGCTCCTTTCTTTATTCACAGTATAAACCAAATAACTTCACCAACAAAAACGTGCTACGTATGTGCTGCAGAATGCTGAAGTTTGATGCAGTCATGTAGTAGGATTAGCAGATGGTCTGATAAAGAAAAAAAATGTTGATTTCCTTAAGAAATCCTGTATTAAGGAAGCTAAAACTCTGTGCTCTTGCCTGTTGTGTTGGTTTATATCTAGAAAACTGTGAACAATGTTAAAATAGTAATCTTTTGGAAAAAGTCACTTCAAGATTTTTGTCTTATATTCTGTAGGTTTTACTGGGATTGATTCTGAGTATGAAAAACCGGAAGCCCCAGAGCTTGTGCTGAAAACTGATTCCTGTGATGTGAATGACTGTATACAACAAGTTGTGGAACTTCTTCAAGAGAGGGTGAGCAGAAATGCAGATATATCTTAGTAACTTTTCTCAAAGCATTTGTGCCTGCAATCTGAATGTGCTGGGAAAAGCAGAGACAGTTTTTATGAATTAAAGGCTTATACATCTTTAAATTCTAGCTTTTAAACTTGTCCTATTGTGTGTTTCCTTTTTAAACCTAAACATTGTAACAACATTGATCTCTGTCAAATAAGATTCGGACAAGTGGAAAATTAATTTATATTAATTATCATAATTGATAACTGGAAGGGAGAGAAGGTTATCTCAGTTGTTACAGAACCAATGATGAATGCTGACTTTAAAATTGGTTGCTAGCATTTGTAAGAGTCTGAAATTTTTTACTTGGTCTCTACAGTGTACAAATTAATATATACTGCAGATGTGAAGATGCAGGGATGCACTTACACAGTAATTTGAGCTGGGCTAAATAGGGGCTGCTGCGGTTGTGTCTGCTTTCCCTTGTTTCCACTGTTTTTCTTGCACTAGTAAAAGTGGTCTCC